CCTTCCTTCCCCCCTTCCTGTTTCTATGAGAAACTAACAGAACCTGGATAGAAAGAAAATCGCGCAAAACACATAAATGAACTCCCAACTCTTAGTATTACACTCCATATTAAAGATTTATCTGAAAAGGGAACAGATGTCTGATTAGAAAAACAAACAAACAACAAACTCACTACAAAATACCAAACAAACCTAATACAAATAACTCTTGTTCGAAATACTAATACTCTGAAATATTTTTCTACTACACAGGCAAATGACAATTACGTTAGCAGATTTGTCAGGCCAGGTTCATGAATTATTCCAAGATTTCCACGTATTTTTACATAACAATATTCCTAACAAAAGTTAATTTTCTATGTTGTTGAATAGAAAAATGGAAATGCACACCTTTTGTGAGTCTACAATAATATGAATGGATGGCAGGTTTAACATAGATCTACATCTGTGAATGACTTATTTCTCAGTGAAATTTCAAGCTACTGTGCATCAGAGAACAATCTCGTTATAGCAGTTTGCTTGTTTGTTTTTCAAGAATGGACTAGTAAAACCAAGAAGTGATGCAATTTTTCTCAAGCATATGAATTTTTAGAAAGTGTGGTGGAGATTAACTTCCCTTAGCAGAATTCCCAAGTGGCTGAGTTCCAGACCATTCATGATGAAGCAACAGAAGCAAAACTATTCAGATGAGTAAGTCATTTGGAAGAGGACTATGGTCTGTAATAACATCTAAATAGACATTGATGCACCTATTGATCTAGAGCAGAAGAACAAGATCAAGATCCTTTAAATCAAATAATTATGAAAACAAATTATAAGAAAATATGCAAGCTTTGGATTCATATTTTGCTTTACATATGTGATGATTTTGGGTACTGTAAGCCTAATATTCTTCACAGGTTTATATTTTGTGCTTATGCTGAAAGGAACCTCAATAATATAGAGATTAGTTGGTTATTGCTGAGCAGTGCTTTGTACATAGAGTCAAGGCCTTTTTTGCTTTTTATATCATCCTGTCAGCAACGAGGCTGGGAGTGCACAAGGAGCTGGGAGGGGACAGAATTGGGACAGCTGACCCCAGATGACCAAAGGGATATTCCATACCCTATGGCATCATGCTCATCATATAAAGCTCAGGGAAGTAGGAAGGAGGGATGTAGGAAGTAGGGATGTTCGGAATGATGACATTTGTTTCCCCAAGTCACAATTACACATGATGGGGCCCTGTTCTCCTGGAGCTGGCTGAACACCTGTCTGCCCACTGGAAGAAGTAAATTAGTTCCTGGTTTTATTTTGGGTGTGTATGTGTGCATTTTGCTTTACCTGTTAAACTGTCTTTATCTCAACCCACAGGTTTTCTCACTTTTATCCCTCTGATTCTCTCCATCATCCTGCTCAGCATGGGGAAGGTGAACGAGTGGCAGGGTGGTGCTTGGTTGCCAGCTGGGATTAAATCACAATGTGAGAGAGAGAGAGAGAGAGAGAGAGACAGTGACAGTGACAGTGACAGTGACAGAGACAGAGACAGACAGAGCAGAATTGGCTATATCAGAGATCTCTCATGTCCATCTGCTTTACCAGATTGAATGCAGTGCATTCTAAATTTAAATGTTTATGGTTAGAGAGGAAATATGTGAAACAGTGGCTCATACAGAAAATACCAAGGGAAATTTTTCAATAAGTGTTAGCTGATACCACTATAATAAATCAACAGAACAGTTCATTCAACACTTCATTTGTTGAGATGGAGAATCAAGCACAAACTTTTCCTCTTCCTGTCAAGGAGAATATATATCCCATTTATTTCTTGGGCATTTCAAGAAATGCCAGACACCTGTACTGTTTAGATGCAACATTAATCATTTTACCACCTGTGTGTCTTTTCATTTACAGCATCTTCCTCCTTTCAATTCCAGCCACTACTATCGTTTTCTACAACAATGGGGAGCAAGCAGTTGCTGACAGTATTCTGTTTCTCATTTAATTAGCATAATATTTAGATTTTAACTTTTTTTATTTGTTCTATTCTTGTTCTATTCTTCTCACATCTCTTCCAGTTTGTTGTTTTCATGAAAAGGCTTTTTTTGCTAATATATTAATAATTAAAAAAATTACAAATAAATAGAATGGGAAAAAAGTCAGCCTCGTCCCTTTTTTGTGTATAAAGTAATTGTAACCTTTCTGCCAATACTTGATTGACAACAAACACAATTTTAATGTAATTTGAGTAGCTGATAAAGCACTAGTTCTGGACTCCACCCAAAGACATCAGAGGACTAAACTATACAGCGTGAAGATCATTTTTCTTCTACTGCAAACGGAAGTCAGTTATTTAAGCAAACAATATTTCATGAAGGAGGGAAAGAAAATATTTAAAGGTCGACAGAACATTTTTAATTCCTAAGACATAATTCATTATTAACAGACTTTTCCTTTGGTGAAGCAATTCTGAGGCCAGCTGGTTGCTTGCTTTTTCCTGTGCTGACACTTGACTTGAATATTATGGTTGTGAATTTTTGCTACAACAGCCTGAATTTTGTGTGCTGCTCTCCCTCTGCTACCATCCCCACACTACAGCTCTGCTCTGCCAGCAGCTGCTGCCTCTTGCTCTCAGGCAAACTGCATCTAGCACAGAGAGCTGGCAATCCCACAGAAAAGGAACTCTTTAATAACTTCTCATGCAACAGTATCCTCACAGTATATTAATGTCTTTTTGTCAATGTCTTCGGAGTTTCTTCAGGTTATGGTTTTTACACTCTGGCCCTAGAAGCTATTGTTGAGGATTGAGAGACTGCTCACCCAAGGCACAGATAGAAACAGTCTCTTAAAACAGACTGTTAGGCTCTCTGATCTTCATTAAAATATTTTTATGAGATACAGGCTTCTCAAACATAATTAAACTAAATGTGAATCCATCAATTCCCACATATTAATTTTCTTGCATTTCTCTGCAAGTCCAGCTGTCTAAAGTGGGATCATCGTCTGTCTTTCCACGCTTCCTAAAGGAATTGTCATGTGACTTTTCCATCATTTCTTCACTAATGGGCTCGCATAAGGCTGCAGCTGAACCCCCATATCATGTCTAAACTCTAAGCATAACACTGAGATGGCAGTCCTGATCAATATACTCCACGATGAGCTGTAGAAGAACTTAAGACTTACCAGGAGCATGGGGTCAGTAGGACAAATTTATTCTGTTCTGTACAAAATTAGATGACAGCTGAAAGTAACACAGTATTTGAAATGCTGTCTTTGTTCTTCTGAGCATTGCTGATTCATCATTTAGGCTTACTGTAATTACAAGCTTTCTCAAACAGCATGCACAGCTGGAATTCTCACACAGTAGTAGTTTATCTTGATAATTCCTCTAACCTATTGTTTAAGCACTGAGCAAATTTAGGAGGAGGTCTAAAAATTTTAAGATGAAATCTAAGGTTAGAAATACTGAAAGCTAGATAAACAATGAATTAGGTTTTAGTTTATGTGTGGAAGGACAGAACATGAAACTTTGTTAATGCCTTGCTGTCACAGAGAGATAAAGAATATATTTCATTGTGTATGAAGACTCAATCTTCAAAGAGGACTATGCACAAAAAAGAGGAAATTTTTAAAATATCCCAAGTAAATATAATGAAACAGAGGTAATGAAAAACCTGGAAAAAAAAAAAGAAAACACAGACAGCAGAATTGGGAATGCATTCAATGTCTCAGAAGAGAGGCAGAGCTAGAAGCAACACATATTAATTAAAAATAATAATATCTATTTATAGTAATTAATATTAATTCAAAATCATTATATTTATGTAATATCTATTAATTATATCTACATAATATTTATTAATTGTATATCTTCTCTATCTAGATTGCTTTTAAAAAGTAAAAACTCTGACAGTTAAGGTATAAAAAGTAGGTCTACATTGGATAAAATACTAAGACCTTCTCTTTTTCATAAATTTGAGAATTCTAATAAAAGGAAAAATTGAAGATGGGAAAATTTCAGGAGAATTGAAAAGTGGATGTCTTCGCTTACTTGGGACCCTCTTTGAGTCCACTAGGACTTCCTGCTATATCTTGACCTTGGCAGATGAGTGGGAATAACTTGAAACTACTCAACTAATCATAAGAATAAGAGTAAGAAACATTGAGTTTCACTGTTGTCTTTTCTCATAGAGTAAATGTCATATAGGAGAAAAGGGCCATTTTTCTTCTGTCTCCTTTTTACCAGCTTGTGATGCTTTACTGAAAAAAAACCAAAAAAAAACAACAACAAAAAAAGAGAATAAAAGACCCAACAGGGTTTTGCTCAGACCCAGAAAGTTCAGCCATGTCATAACACAGACTGGAGAAATGAGCCAAACACCATCTGATGAACTACCTGTCAGACCAAGGGCTCTCAGCAGCAATTGCTCTAGATCAGTGATATTTTCTTCATTCATATCACTTTTCTTTTAAGTTTTGTTTGTGTCTATACATTCATTAAAAATGAGAAAAAAGATGACTACAGAGCTAATTATTTTATTCCTAATATGTATTATTATATATTTATTCTCTGTATTTTTACATATAGGCTTTAATAATGCATCTTAACTTAGGCATGGCCTTCCCATCCCTCTTCCTCTTCTTCTTCCTCTTCCTCTCTCTCTCTCTCTCCCCTCAGGTCCCTTCTCCTCTCTACCACTCCACAGACTAAATAAATGCAATTCTAATTAATCCATTGTCTCATATTTCAATTGTTTTTTGCATTTTCTTTAAAATTTATAAATTTAAAATTTTATTATTTTTAAATATATTTCTTTTTCAATCTAACATTCCTTGGTTCATATGATAATCTGATTATTAAATTTCAGTAGAATTACCAAAAGACTCCCCCCAAAACTGATCCCCCCCTAAAAAAAAAAATTAAAGTATCAATTCTGCTAGGATGAAGGAAATATCAATCTGCCCCACAAAAGCAGCCCGCTTTGTAGTTTAGCTTTTGCTCTGCTAGCAGTGCTTCTGCTGATTGTCATGAAGTTTAGTATAATAACCACTGTAAGTATCTGCATGCATCTGCAGCAGGTTTCAAGAGTAGCAAAGGTCTTAGGTCTTCCTGCATACCATTAAGCTGTCACTCATGATCCATTTTCAGAGGTATCTTATATATTTTACAGTTCCTGATAGACACGGGGTTTAAGAAGCAATGTTTCTGTGGCTGCGACTTAAGCAAGATAGGAGGTTTCTCTTGCTGCCCCAGAGCACCTGATTTTCACCCCTTTTCTAAAAGAGTTTTCTCCACTTACACTACTTAAAATATTCCCCTAGGTACTTGTTTTATACCTGGTTCTGTCAAAAAACTCTGCTATCTAAAGTATTTTATTTACCATTTAATATAGCAGATCTCACACCATAGTGACTAATAACTGAGTGCAAACATAGGACAATACTGTATTGTTCTCACATGGTAGAAGCCAGAGCAACACTGATTGCAGTGCAATTTTGTGCCAAGAAAGAGATTCAGATTTCTTGTTCATTTGTTGGCTGGATTTCATTTGGTTGTTTTTTGTTTGCTTTTGGTTTTTTGTTATTCAGCTGGGAATACAAAAGGGAGGTTAAGCAACAGGAGTCTGAAGACCTCAAAGGTTGCTTTATAAAACACCTGTATTATCCATTTAAATCTCTGACACAATGCCAATGAAGTCATGGGATGCTCTTTTAAAGCACTGTTTTATCTCTGGCTGGGGCAGAGTTTATTTTCTTCACAGTGGCTATAATATGGCTAATTGATCTTTGGTTCATATTTGTGCTGAATGCAGTGATGATTATAGAGATGTTTTTGGTATTGCTGAGCAGTGTTAACACAGAGCCAAGGCCTTTTCATTACTGTGAAATGCTCCAAAATCTTTAACTCAGCTTGCTGCTGTTCTGGACCAATTATTCACATGACCCTCTAAATGGATAATTTCTGTTGCATTGGGATTGCATGGCAAGGCTTTGGCAGCAGCAGGGTTTCAAGATGCCTTCTGTGAGAAGCACATGTGAGACCAAAAAAGTGAACCTCTTTCAGAATCTTCATAATGAGCAGGCAGGGATAAATTCTCCTTTGCACAAAAATTAATTATTTGTATTTTTCATCCTTTTCCTTCCATTTGTAGCAGCACAGTTTCTTTGGGAAATCTGAAAAAAAGCCATGTCATCTGTACAAAATTAGGGGTAAAAATCAAATTCAGATCAATGCCTATTAAAGACAAAAAACCAGACCCCCTGCTTTGAAAAATCCCTTCCTTGAAGTTGGTGACAGACACAAATTCACTTTGTCTTTTAGTAACCATTATATTTCATTTGTCCAAAATAAATATTTCAGATGCAATTTATGTCTGCTACATTATGCTTTCAAATTTTATTATTGTGGATTTTCATCCAGAAATTAATATAATGATGCAAAACCCTCCAGCTTATTTCTGCTT